TTCTTGAATTTCCGCATGGATAGCACCCGCTCACAATGGTTCGCTTCAACCAAAATAAATTAATGCAATCAACTTACAATTACAATACAGAAAAATTGAAAATGATAAGAAGGGAATTGTGAATTATTATTACTGAATTGAAATCAAGAACTGAATTGCGCAAAAGGAATCATAATATGAACAACTGAAGAGAGAACCTTGGTTTTGGTCTCGATGCGGACGTCAAGCGATGAGACCCTGGTGGAAAGAAGGCCGGCGAGGCATTCACCGGCGAATGGATTGAAGAAGTGGAAACCAGGCTCAGCCAACTTGTAGAAACGACCCCATCTTTCCACAACTCCTACGTTTGACTGCTGAACGCATCCACAGAATATGCAGAAGGAGTTCCCCATATCTCTCTTCCTCCTTCTCTGTATAGCAATAAGCGAAATGCAAAACCCTTTCTTTGTCGCTTGATTTAAAATGAAGACGTAACAGAGAGGATATGACGCTAACGCGGCAAGTTTCTACCGAAGAAACGATCAGTAAGGCGGTTAGAGAGAAAGTGATGATTTGTCCTTTTCGTTTTATTGCCCTCCAGAGAACGAAATGTTGCGCTTCGTCGCGGAAATTGAAGTCAAAGAAGCCAAAAATTAACAATAGAATTCCATTGGCAGGAAAAAAAATATGGAATTCCATATATCTACGTTCTGAATATAATATACCAAAAACAATTACAAGGAGCTATATGCAATTTGCGGATTTAGGATGTGTTTGGTTTTGGTATTATATTAATTGAATAAAAATCATTAAATCTACGTGAAAGTATCTTTCTCCATTCTCCTCTTTTTTTGTCTCCTTTTTCACTTTACTATCAAATGGATTGAAATTTTAACAACTAAGATTTGATGTATATAAAAAATATATGAATAAATTTAAATTATTAAAATTTCACCTCAAACCCATGGTGAAAAAAATAAGGGAAAAAATTTACTTTATTATAAAATATTTTAATAATAGCATACAACTATATGCTTGTATAATGACTAGTAGAAGCCCTTACATGCAAATGAGAAACTCCTAGATACTTTTCAAGGTTAACAGTTGATCCAACTCTCATTTGTTGGCTCAAATCATTTAGGAAAAATAAATAAATATGAATACATTATCTTAGTCTTGCTTTGCCACTTGGGAAAACTAAATAAATATGAATACATATATCTTAGTCTTGCTGTACTCACTTTTTGTCGTAGAACACCACAAAATCTACTGAGAACTCGATTCATCACTTCAACTTGCTTACCTGCTGCTTCCTTAATAACATGGGATCATCACCTAAAAAATAAGTGAGGAATGAGTGACGTTCTTTATCAAGCTTTAAAGGCTTCTAATTACCATGATATATTAACCGTATTTTCATTTAAGTAGTTAAGTTTCTCCGTTCAAAAAGTAAAGTTATACATAAGGAAAAACTGAATCCCCTTACCTTATTCCTCTTGTAGGTTTGAACTTCTCATCAGAAGGTTCGTTGTTCTATAAATCATTCTTGAGGAATCAATGCAAGCTTGGATAACTTCAAGCAATTTTCCTTCACTTCCAGCTTCTTGCAAACAATATTCTAGAACAAATCTCCTTTTAAGTCTCTCATGGGACTTTTTTAGATCAACTTTAATCGCAAGAACTCCGTTCTTAATTCGATTTCTCATTTCACATGAAATGAGTAACTTCATGAGCCACTATAGTATTGACACTTTATCTTTCGGCAATGAAACTACTTTGGTGTTCCTGTCTACAATCCTTTTTAACTCTTGTGGCCAACATTTTGGTAATAATTTTGTAGCTTATGTTGCATAGGGATATGGGTCTATAATCTTTCATCTGCTTAGGTTTGTAAATTTTTCGAATAAGGGCTAAAGAAGTGTTGTTGAGGTCCCAGATGCTCCTAAGCCTTTCAAACACATTCTTAACCATATTACAAACATCAGGACTCAAAATAGATTTGTCAAAACTAATGATAAAAGAATGTTTGAATACCATTTAAGTAAATGGCATTCTAAATTTCCTAATCAGACACTTTTTAGGGCATCATTTTTTAGGGCATCATTTCTGTTTTTCCTTCTTCTGATAGCCGTTGTAGCGTGGAAAAATTTTCTATTCCTATCATCCTATTTCAACCAATGGCGTCTTGATTTCTAGTGCTGGAGTAATTTTTCCTGATGAGTCAATACTTTACCATATTCCTTCCATAATTCAATTTCCCCTTGTCTGAGATACTGGCTGCCCTTTCTGGTTCTTGCTTTATCAATCCCATCTATTTTCTTTTCATGGGGAATAATGTTGACTAGTACTCTTCTCAAGTCCCATTCCTCTGCTTCCTTCTCAAAGCTTTTAATTTTCTTTTTAATGTTCTCCGATTGTATCAATTTCCAGAAGTTGTGCTATTTGAATGCAGTCCCAGAAATGTCTCATACTGGTAGAGTTAGGAGGTGAACCTCACAATTTAGCAGCAACCCAATTTATCATTGACACCCATACAAAAATCATTCATTCTGCAGAATCTACATACCGTCCTTTCAAAAGAAGCCATATATATACATATATATATATATATATAATTCAGTGTCTCTTATGCTCCCTCTTCAGAATTCACGTTCTCTCATTCATTTTCTTTCCTCATCAGATGGATCCAACCCCAAGCAATGGACACTATCCTTCTTTTGGATTTTCTTCGCAGCAGAAACAACAAATTTATATTCAAAACTTCTTTTAGCTTGTGTTTGGTGTACGTGGAACACGGCACAGGATAAGTACCAACACACAGACAAATTTTTTTATTACTATTATTATTATACATCAATATCTATTATATATTCATCATGTATAGTTATAATACAATATATACTTCCTACTACGTGCATATATGTGTGTGTGTGTGTGCAATGCCTGTTTATATATATTTATCTATATCATATCAGTTGTATTTATTTGTGTGTGTACCCTTTTCACAAAAAATGATCAACGTGATGCTTCTAATAAGCAAAACGTACGTTGATCCTAATTATCTTGCTAATGAATTAAAATGAGAGCCTCCTATATATAATTTAATTTGATTATTAATAAAGTTGACTGCATGATTAGTACCTGGGATCTTTAGTTTATATCTTGTGGTAAATATTAATGAAAAGTCTGTGTGTTGGCAAGAGGATGAGGCAAATGGAGAATAAAGTAATGGAAATGAAGAATGAGAGACAGAGAGACAGGGAAGTTAGTGAAGGAGGGTGGCATGTTGGGGCTGATGTTATAGGGATGTGAGGCAAGCTGGGATGTGAAGTAGATCTGTGTTAGGGTTTCTGTGTGCACAAGGAATCAAATAGGACTTGTGAGTTCGGTATAGCCAGCTCATTTTCTTCTCTCTTTTTTTCCCCAGTTATATATATATATATATATATATATATATGCTAACTTTCAATTAGGGTTCTAGCTCTTGGCCTACCTCTGTCTAGCTATGTACCCTTTGTTTTTATATATAAATTCCTCTAACAAGTTGTTGATAGATCCATCTTTCTGGTTTTTCTGTTTCAAGCATGATTATTTTCTCTCTGTTTTTTTAATCTTACATCATATATTTAGTTGAGTCAGGAAGGAAAACTTAAGATTAGGACAAGGATACATCCTTCAGGGCTTAAACAACACTTAAAACCTGCAAAAGATAATATCTCGAATTAGCTAGTTAAAGCTTAGTTATACTGAGTTAAAATTTACGAACTAAGTTACAAGTAAATCAAAATTTTAAAGACTAAAAGATTAAAATTTTTTTATATTAATAATATTAACTAATGAGTTTGGTGGTTTACAGAGTTATAGGATTATAGTTAAAGACACTCCCTTTTATAAAAGCATTGTTCATGTTACGAATGAACCTGCATTGCATGTGTTTGTAAGCCTAACAACATTGGTTTGCTTCTTAGTGGCCTAATTAACATGTTTGATATTTTCTTAGACAGACGTCAATTCTTAATAAATATTGTCCAAACTGAAATTAATTTGCAAGAAAATCAAGGTCAATAAACAATAATAATTAAAGCCATATAAGTAGGAATGTCACATAAATTTTATGATTCATGAATATCACAAGATTATATTGAACAATTCTTAAAATTCATCTAATTAATAAGCTACAAATACATGAGGGGGAAAAATCCAATAATACAACTTAATTATGTTTAAATTGATCATCTAAATCATTTGAGTGAACCCACATGGACCCATATATATACATATATATATATAGGTGAGCCCCACCTTTATCAGCTTACTTGAACAATCAAGGGAATCTAAATCTATGCATCGAACTATTAAAGTTTTTTTCCTTCAAATAACGATTATATGATAATTAACATTACTAAAAAAAAAAATTAAGATTCCAGCTGTATTAGATCCTAAAATGAGGAGAACCTTTTTTAGTATGATTTTTTAAAAAAATTCACAAGACTTAGACACTTAAAATTAATTAATTCCTTCTAATCTATTTAAATGGCCATTAATATCATGATTATTGCATTAGTCATTAATAAAGAGGGACAATGTTTGATATCTATAAATATATACTACCTCTATATTTCTTAAAATATCCTTACTAATCAAGTGTACTGGCTAGAACTACCATTATTAGAATGACTACCTTGTGAAAAAATACATAAATGTGAGAGACAAAGTGAATTGGAGTTTTATATTTAGGACCAAAATAAAAATCAAATAATATCTTATATTAAGAATCGGAGGTAGTAATTAATATTTAATTGCACATATATATACATGACAAAGCAACGAGATTTAGCTTTCTAGGTGCAGAGGTAGTTAGAAGACACAGGACCTACCATGTGGCCAAAAGTAATTATACACCCACACACAGACACACACACACACAATATACATATATATAAGCAGAAAAGCGTTCTCATCGATATCAACTTCCAAAAGTTGAAGGCAGAGGAATCTCAGTCAGTCACAGAAGAGACTGTATGGCTTCCTGGTCTGCTGAAAATGCCACCAAGGCCTATCTTTCTGCTTTCAAAATGGTGAGTCTTTAATTTCAATCTCCTCTAATAATCTTGGCACACCACTAAACAGTCTTTATCAGGTCCCCGTACCAGTTATTTGTTTCTGATATGGTTTAGATTTTGCCAAATAATCATAGGATTTAAGTGTAAGTTTGAACTGAGGAAGACTTAGACTATCTCTTCCACTGTTAGTCCTTTCTTCTTCTTCGTCTGGGCTTCACTCGACTCACAATTTTAACGTATCCTCTCCTCTAGCTTACGCCGCCATACATGAAAGCATCAATCTTTAAACAAACAATCCATCACAAACCATAAACATAAAAAAGCGACACCATGCAGACGGATATATTATATTGATGTCTTTAGCGATTATCGAAGAAAGAAATAATGTGGAGACGAAGAGATTGTGGGGCCCATTCTTTTCTAGCTTTTCCCTCATCACCTCCTAACGCATACGCATCATGGTGGAATTATTCATCAATATATCAATATATATACATGTATATATAAGTTACAAGGTGTCGCATTATTTCTCTGCACAACTTCTTCCTTAAGCTGCGTGCTCACTTATAACCAGTTTGATACACACCCATTTGCGTTATAAAACGATGAGATCAAACTATTCATAATGGGTTTTTCAACTTTTTTGGTTGAATCAGGGTGAAAGAAGCAAGGAACCAGACGTGACAGAGTTCATATCAGCGGTAGCAGCAGGAAACAACGCACAAACAATGGTGGTGACTTCTGCGTCAGTCCCAGACTCTGCAATCCTACTAGCCATGGTGGCGGCGGCTCACCAAACTGAAGGCCGAGTCATCTGCATCGTGGGCAGGGCCGACCACCTTAATCCCACAAAAGCTTCTCTGGGCAACATCCTCGTCGCAGGTCAAGTGGAGTTCCTCATCGGAGAACCTCAGCATCTGCTAACATCATCAGAGCCATGTAAGAACGCAGACTTCGTACTCGTCGACTGTGAGATTGAGAACCACCAAGAGATCTTCAACGCCGTGTGTATGGGGAAGAAGAAGAAGGGAAGTGGGACGGTGGTTGTGGGGTACAATGCGATGAAGTACTGCAAGGGGACGACTTGCTGGGGAAATTGTGGGACAAGAACTCAGTTATTGCCGATAGGAAAAGGGCTGCTTGTGACGAGGTTTGGGGATTTTGGAGGGAATAATGATAATAATGTTATTGGGAGTAGCAAATATTGTGCAAGTGGATTGCGAAAATTTAGGAGTCGTTGGGTTGTGAAGGTTGATAAATGTACTGGCGAAGAACATGTTTTTAGAGTCAGATTGCCACATGATAAGGTTGTTCCCGCATGATTATATGTATTCAACAAGATTCGATCACTATGAAGATTTCAAACATCCAAATTTATTTCGTTCAAGGACTTTAGTGATAAGAGATGCAATTTTTTTAGAGAGACTCAAACAGAAGAGGAGAGACCACATAAATATATATACATATAGCTAAGTGTTAAAATAGAAAAGATGTAGCTTCATATGTTTTAATGAATCACAGAGAGGTACTAAGGGGGAGTTTGGAAACCTTTTACAATGATTTGCAAAAAGTGTTTTTACGCAAATCAAAACAAAATTTTTCTCTTATATTTATTTTGCATATCATAAAATTATTTTTCGAAAGCTAATCCAAACACCCATTAATACATATTTGAAAAACAGAAATAAAGGGTAGTAGTACTAACATGGTCACTTCGGGGGCAAACATGCATATCTAATTAATTAACTTTCTCTTTATACGCGTTTTACATATTTCCCCTCGAAAATGTAAAAATTTAAAAATAGATAAAATATTTAAAAAATAAATTTAAGTCTGAAATTAGAACCTAAATGATGATCAAGTTAATTAGGCTTGGTTATGTCATCTAATTTCGGTTTTAAGCTAGTTTAACATCTAATTTAGTCGTATATAAGACTTCAATTTATTTTGTCTCTCATGTCTATCTATTTTTTTTTTAAGATAGTTTTTGTAGTAGTTACACATGTTAAATATTTCATCAAATGATAATTCTGATTAGCAAGGATATTTTAGAAAAAATAATATCTATTTATTGCAAATAATTAATTTAACTAATTTTCTTAATCTATTCAAACTAGTCAATATTCTTTTATATTAAGGACTGGAGGTAGCATATAATAACCTCAGATTTTAAGCTCATATTAGGTTGTTCAACTAATCCAAATTAAGTTGAGTTCTAGCTATGATTAATGTAGCCCTTTTCTTACGTTACAGTCTAATAATGAGCTTATTGAAAGCTGTAATCCAAATTAATATAGGAACTATCAAACACTAATTTTCCACCTTGGTATCGTTATTCAATACCTAAAGTCTAATGTTGAAAGGCGCAAAAAAAAAAAAAAGTTGAAATTATTAATTAATCAAAAGTTACATTTGTGGCCAAAATTTTTGTGAAATTCAAGGTTAGATATTATTGTTAAGTGTTATTTTTAGCAAATGTAAAAAAGTCAACTTGACATATAATGAAAGTGCTGTGACATGGTAGTATTTTATACGGACAAGTTTTGCTTCGTGTATAAAAAAGTTTACAGCCAAATATCGCGGCATTAGTGATTAGTAATTTCGGTAAATTATAAGTCTTTCGGGAATTATTATTGTTGTTATACTCGTCCAGTTCTAAATATAAAACTCTTATACACATGAGTATAATGATCTTACATTTAGGATTGGAGGAGTAATTATTTTATAAGGCAATCACAACGCATGAACTAGGACATTAGCACCACTTATCTAAGGAGGTGTTTAGATGAAACCAAACCATGGTGTAGAGAATAGCTTCTAAAGAATAGATTTTGTGAAAAAATGATTTTGAGAAGTGAGAGTGTTTGGATAGTTGTTACCAGAAGCACTTTTTACATGTACAAATTACTAAAAAGGATATAAGTTAATATGATAATTATATAAAGGATAGATTTTATAATATATTTTGATTTGAAGAAATAAAACTGTTAATAAAATAATTTTTACTAACATAATTAATAATATATAAGATAATATAATTAATAAATAATTATATTATCTTATATAAAATAATTCAGGGTAACGACGACGAAGGAAGGGCAAACAGGGGAGCTAAAACTGTCGGTGAGTGATTTCGAGCTGGGCAATGGGTGAAATAATTGGGGTATGCTTGTGACCGGTGGGTAATTTCGAGCTGGTGAAATAATGAGTGAAATAATTGGGGTGTTTTCGGTCAAATACTGTTGGCCCCTCTAATGCTTCAAATTTCAGTCCCCAAAAGCAAAAATTTTCACTTCTGGGCAAATCATGGTTTTACCACATCAAACCAAGGTTTCAGAACAAACCAAAGTTCTGAAAAAATTGATGCTGTTTGGGTGATATCCCACTCAAACCATAGTTTTGCTTCTCAAACCATGGTTTTGGGTAGAGCTAGCGGGCCCAGCCCACCAAAAAAGGCGGACTCGGGTTGGCAATATGCCAGCCCGCCAAGGTGCGGGCTGGAAGGTGCGGCTATTCCAGCCCTCACCGTTTTGAGCCCGCTCCGCCGCGGGCTGGCCCGTTTTTTTTTTTTAAATTTTTCATATAATTCCTAATATAGTTAAAATATTTTGACCCTCAAATTCCACATGAACAATTAAACATTTCCTTTTTCATATGATTGCATAAGTAATTAAACGCTTTATATATTTGTGATTCTGTGTGTAGTTATACAAAGATCATCGTCCATCTTTTATTTTTCATTTATTTGTTGTGTCACTATAAAAGCCTTTATAAAATTAAATAAACATGTGATACTTATACATTTATACATAAAATATCTACTTAATTAATTTGGATAAGAAAACTAAATTACTTTGAATAAAAAAATTAGTTAAATTAATTATTTATAAAAAAATATATTAGTTTTTAAAAATATATTCTTAAATTATAAATTAATCGTCACTTTATTTTATCATAACTCACTACTCAAATTCAAGATTCGAAGCCTAATTTTAACATTTCAAATTAAGCTCAACCTATATTAATGATAATAGTTTTTATTTTTTAAAAAAACTAATATATAAGCGGGCTCGGGCTGGCAAAATGCTAGCTTGCCAAGGTGCGGGCTACTTTAGCCCGCACTGCTGCGGGCTGGCCCGTATCTGCACCGCCAGCCCGCATTACCACCTCTAGTTTTGGGAGCACCCAAATAGGCCCTAAGTCACAATCCCAAAACTTACTTTAATTTTGTTCAAATAACACCAACAGCATGGTTTTTTTTCCTCACACGCGGGGATATATATATATATATATATATATATATATTTATATAAAAACTTGCACAAATCCTCCAAGAATAAATATTGCATAAAATCTCTTCTATGTAGATAAAAAACATTTTCTCTGAAAACAAGAACAATGTTTGTTTAATTTTTGAAAAAACAATTATTACCCGGAAAGATTTTCTTTTTCTTTTTCATCTGAATTATATATATCCAAAAAGATTAAGAAATGGAACCTGGCCACTGGGGTCATTAGGTTTTTTAAAAGAAAAAAGATAAAAAAAGGAGTTTCTGACAGGATTTATTTAGTGCATACATAAATTTGCAAGTGTGTATATATATATTACATTATAAAATGAGTTTTATATTTAAAATTGAAAGAGTATATGCATAGATACACAAATTTATATAAATGAAAGTTTTAATTTTAATTCTAATGGGCCTATTGGGCTTGGGCGTTGGGCTTCACTTGATTAAAGCTAAACGGAAAAAACAAAAGGAAACAAAGCGGCAGCCTTCTACTGTAAAACAATGATGTGGGAAGAACCAAAAAGGACCTTGGTTTTTTTTTTTTTGCCAGCACAAAAAAGGACCTTGTTAAAAAGATAGATTCCCATGTTTATGCTCTCATCCCCATTTTTTTTTATTCTTATTTTGTATCAAATAGTCCTTTAAAACCAACTCCAAAATTTCTATTTAGAGTTGGATTGCAAAGGAAAACATAAATTAAAAAAATTCATCATTTAATCTCTATAATTTACAGCAACTTCAAGTCTTTTTTTCCCCCAAAAAAACATCCTTATACTTTTCAAATCAATATTTTGTTGCTTTAGTTCATATTTTCAGTTTTCTATGGTAAAAAAATCTACATCTGCTTAACCCCACAACCTTTTTCAAAAACTCGTGCAAGTACAGTAGTTACCAAACATGGGAATTGCATGATTGTGTCAAGGCACTGAATTGACTGTGCTCTCACGGAAGTTATAACTTAGCTGCCAGCGGGATAAAATTGATGCAAACTACTTTTTCATGCCATAAATATAAAAATTAGGAAATAAATTTACGTTAATTTTAAATGTTAGACTTTTTATCCTTTAAATTTATAATTTTTCTTCAAAATTCTTCATATTAATCTCACCTATTGAAGGGATTTTATATCAAACGAGAAGTTTTCAATACAAGTGATTAAAATAGATGGTTTAAGGAACCTAATGCATTTTTTCTACAAATAATTATGTTAACAATTTTTAATATCTTCAAATTAGTTATATCACTTTTATATTTAACATAAAAAAGTATATAGAAACCAAATAATTACACAAATATCCTGTGTTAGGTTAAAAAAACGAAGAAAGAAACAAAAAGGAAGGAAGTGCCAGCTTTTTTTAAAAAAAATCTGAAATGTCTTTTTTGATGGAAATAAAGTTTGGTGGAATGGCATATAACGAATCATTGAGGCTGAGAATGAAAGATATGCATGCCTGCTCCTCTTTCACTTTCTTTGTTTCACATCCTTTCACTTGATTACTCAATTCATCATTTCTACTCTACTCCCTCACTCTAGACTCTAACCTTGCCTCTTCCACAAATACACTGCTACTTCTTTATTAATCATTAGAGTGGACCCCATACAATTTATATGAAATACAAAATAAATTACAATATTTATAACTTATAAATATCTTAACTTTTGCTAATAGCTTCATGATTTAGTGATTTTCTAAATTACTAATTTAATCTGACACAGTCTAATAGCACATTATCAGATGATATGTGAGGTATACATAAGTAATGTAATATTTGCTTATATTGGTGAGGGATTTCATGTTTATCAATCCTATTAAATGCAAAAAACTTAATCCAAATAAAGTGTGTTTGAGATCAAAACAGGCGATCAGACATTTTTCTTTTTGGGAGTGATGTTCATGCCCATGTCATATTGAGCAGCCATGTCAAAGCTTATGTGTTGCCAATAATGGTCGGTGACAGTGGAGCCAGACTGGGTTTGCTAGGTATGAGACATAATAATGAAGTTTAATTCTTAGTTGTTTTTTTTACTG